ATATATATATTTCATCCGATTTGGGGTTTTAAGTCTCTCACATGCGTAATATACACTCTCTCAGATTTGTATATACTTTCGATATATATCTTTATCCGAGTTTACGGTTATTATCCAACATATATGTAATATCAGCCCAAATTGGATAGATTTTTTCATGTTCAACCGAATTTTTTCATTTGGTGAAACTCTGTCCGGTATATCTATTGCTCTAATAAATATTTTTTTAATATAACTCTTATCGAAGTCATATCATGCACTATACAGCAATGTTATTTGGTATTAGAGGTCCAAAGTCTCCGTCAAACTTGTTGAAAATAAATTCAGATATGGATATAGTTCCGAAATTGTGACTACTCTAATGCCATGATACGCATTCAAAGAAGGTTCATAGATGGTATGATCTACTTTACATAAATTCCCAATATAAACTTTTTTGTTACCGGAGCTCTACTAAATACGCATAGTGGTGTAGGGTATCATATAGTCAGGCCCACCCAACTTTTGACCTTTCCTTACGGTTTTTTTAATTGCATATTGTATTTTAATGTCGATAATGGCAACCCTTCTTACTAAGCGCAAAACAATTCTCAATGGGAATTGAGAAATTATGAGCATGATGGCGATATTTCTTGCTAGCTTATGATGATTTATGCCATAACATTGAACAGCGTCCATTATTGTTGCTGTTTGTAATTAATTTTTGGATACGTATATGCACTTAGCTTTTTTTAGGCTGCCTTCCTTTTTGTTTTGCCATTTCTTTTTGTTCGTGCTGGTTTTTTGTTGTTGTTGTTGCGACTTTTCAACACCGCTCATTTATTTCCCAAGAATTTCTTCGTTTTTATTATTCTAGGCAGCGGTCATTTTTGTTTGCATTACAAATCAAAACGAAGGAAAAATAAATTCAAAACGGATGTATGGAAATTCATACATGTCCGATTGACCGCAAAGCGAAGCAACGCAACCCAACCACCATCGAACTTAGCCTCCTAGTATGCATACGTATGTGTGTGTGTGCATGGCCTGACTGTGCATACAAATGTTTATTTACATAAATATTTTATTGTAAATAATTTGGACTTTCCTAAACAAAAGATAGAAACGAAAAAAAAACACAACCTAAGAATACAGTTTTAGTTCGGGTTCACAGCCCAGACAGTCATCTACCCGTCCAACCATCCATCCAGCCAGCCAGCTATGCAAAGGGTATTCAAATCATGCACACAGGTTAACTAAAGGCATAGACCAGACCAACCAGCCCGAGCCACTATGTGCGTCGCAGTTCGAAAGAAAATGCAAATGTATACGAATTTTTTATTACGAATTTTTATTACAAGTCAACGAATGAGAATAACAAATAAAGCCAAAATAAATCCATTAGAATGCTAAGCCAAGGTTGTTTTAGAGATTTTTATTTTTAAAATCGCTACGAATTTGAATGTAATAATAACAATTCTCGGTTCGTTCGTTCGTCCGTTCTTGGAATATAGGTTACCGATAAGAATGTGATTAAAGCAAAATATACATACACACACTGCCACATCGTTTGTTCAAAGAGCTCGATGTAGAAATGTTTTGTGTTTTGGTAAATTATAATCTGTTTCAAGATAATCGGATTTATATTTGAAATAAAATGTAATTAATTAGCTGGTATTAATAACAGCAAGCTAATCTTTGATTTCTAGTAGTGATACCTCCAAAACCCCAATTGAGATAAATTTGTTATGAGAGAATTTTTTAAAGAGGGTAGTCATTTGAGTATATAGTGTAAAATAGGCCAGCAGAAGTTTTGTAGTCAGATGTGACCCTATCTGCATTAGTAATAATGACACCTACATATTCTCTACATTATCAGTAGCATGGAGGTCCTTTCGTGATCAGGGCTTATCCAGCAGATAACAGGTCAACTCAGAAAGAACAGGGACCATATGCGTATTAAGTAGAGCTCCCGTAACTAAAAATGTTCTATATTGGGAATTTATGTGAATTAGATCGTACCAAATATGAATCTTATTTGAATGCGTATCATGGCTTAAGAGTAGTCACAAGTTGGGTACTATATCTAACTCTGGGTCGATTTCCAACGAATTTGACGGATGCTTTTGTACCTAGTACCAAATAACATTGCTGTTTAGTGTATAATATGACTTCGATAAGAATTATATTGAAGAATATTTATTGGTGTAATAGATATACCGGACCGAGTTTCACCAAATGGAAAAATTCGGTTAAATATATAAAAATCTACTCAATTTGGGCTGATACTACATAACATATATGGTACCGAATATCATTCTTGTGGAGTGCATATTACGCATGTGAGGGACTTAAAACCCCAAGTCGGATGAAATATACATATTTGGGAGCTATAGCTATATCTGAACCGATTTTCAACCAGATTTGATGTATTTACTTCTAGATTGAATTAGGTCGGATGTGGAAAAATGCAGGTCATTTGGACTGATTTGGTGCCAAGTAACCCGAAATCAGTTCAAGCCATATTATTTTGGAGCTATATATCTTACTTCGAACCGATTCTCACCAATTTCAATAGGATTTATCCTTCGATGGACGGACGGGCTGACACGCATAATTCGACGTAGAAAGTGATTCTAAGATGATCCTCAAAACTAACTAAGGGTCGATCTCGCTTCCTTCTCCATGTTACAAATAAATGCACAAAAACACAATACCCTTTTCGATCGCTATTTCGATCCCGCCGAAATATCAATATCCTAACCATGAGACCAAAAATAAAAGAACGTGTTTATAGCATATCTTTTGTTGATGGAAATATTGAGATGTACCAAGTCTGAATGGAATCGGACGTTAATTTTGGGTCTCATAAGTTTCATAGGTATTCAAAACGTTAACCCTTTGTGGGAGAGGTACTCGAAGCAGTAGTCCGATGTTGTCCATTCTTGCATCCAATCTTGCGGTAATGCAAAGATCACGATTTGCAAAGCTTGTACAAAGTCAGATCATCCGTTCTCTTCCTTTGCGGTAAATGATTTTCTATGAAAGTTTTGACCTCTGGTTGGGGAGGTACCAGAAGGAGTGGACCGATATTGGCCATCCAAGAACTCGATGTAAGTTTGACAAAAATATTATGATGTGCCAAGTTTGGACCCTTTGAGGGTTATCGTGCGCACCAGACAGACGGACGGACATTGATAATTCCCCGAAACGGATGTTGTCCAACAACATTTACAATTTCAAAGTGGACAAAATGACAAAATGAGGCGTCAATTTTTTCAAACTTCCCAATTTTGAATATTAATTCGAATACAAAGATGGGATAGACAGATGCCTGCCTTTGCCATAAAATATCGAAATTTGGGTTTCTAAGAGAGTACACAATGAGGGCGCAAAAATTCACACATTGCAATATTTGTATAAAGACTAGTAGACTTGTATAAGGAATAGATTATGGTCCAGCTAAGACCCCGTCTTAAAACGTCCGTTATCTATCTATCTTTCGAATGAAATAAAGTAGAAGTATACAAGTGTATTTCGGCAGTAGGCAGTTCGATCGACGTTTTCGTATAGACCCCATATAACAGTAATATACGGATATTCGGTATTTTGACGACTTGTTCAAAATCCACCTAAAGTTTTTAACGGAGTCTACCTCCTCTGGCAGAAAATTGTCTATATAGGTCCACGTTTTCTTATAGCCTTCATATAACAGTAACTCCCAATATTTGTTTCTCCCAAATTTTGTTTGAGTGTTCTGATGTTTTAAAAATCATTTTCTAACGGAATTGCTTAGAATTGGTTCATAGTGTTCATGGCAAATCATAGTCTACATACATAGGTTCTCGTTTTCTTATAGCTCCCATATTTCGGTTCTTCTCGATATTCGGTATTCTACTGAGTTTCGCTAAATTTTTCAAGGAAATAGTTTTTAATTCGTTATAAAAAATTTGTAATGAGTTCAATCTTCTTTTGGCAGAAAACTGATGTAATAAGTTCATTATTTGTTTTATCACTTCTAAGGCGGTACCTTCGAATATTTGATATTTCGGTGATTTTAGACAAATTTTTAACAGATTTCTTTTATTTGGTATTTGATACTCGCATAAGATAAAAATTACTATAGCAGGAAACCGATACTGTCAATACTGTCAATTTTACTGGAAAGGCACCCATTGTGTATTGGGTTCTTTTTCAAAGGTTAAGGTGGAGTGTGGGTCGGCCAAGCTTAACTGACTTTTACATGTTTTTTTGTTTTGTTCTTATGGCTTTCAGTTGTCCTCTTAATACTATATTTCGAATATTTTTATAAGTATAACTCAACAGAAAATCTCAGTGCAAAAAACTTTTTTCCAAGACTGGGCCATGTCGTTTCATATCGTAGACTCTAATGTCGTGGGAAAAACCATAATGTTTTCTAGATTGGTCAGGCTGAGGAACATTTTTTTCCTGTAAGCGATAAAACGGAGTCATAATAGTCCAGTGAGCCATTTAAAGTACTTCTTTTGTAGATTAAAAATAAAAACCTTTTTACTATTAATTATCAATTATTAATTATATTTATTATTATTTTTATTTTATTTACTCCAACGCACCCAAGAGAAAAGCCTGGAAGGGAGAAGGTATGCCTCACTTTCCTACAAGTACATAAATTTGATTGAAACCCAGTATTTTCAGTCCAAAATATCTTCAATTCGAAAAAGTGCATTAAACAGAATTTTCAGCGTCGGCAAAAATGTTTAAGGCTTCAAACATACATGCACTTACATTTTTAAATAAACCACACATGAAGCAACAAAGAAAATGCATTTGCCGACGGCAAGCAAACACCGAGCGCCACAACTGTATGTTGCTATGCCGGCGGAAATCTAAACAACGACGGAAATCTATTCTCATAGCGGAAGTAAATGTTTATATTCCCTAGCCCAGATCAAAAGCAAAAAACCACACACACATTTACATAACCCGCACCAGACCCCCAAACAATACGACGAAACAGGAAATAAAAACACAATTAAAGATTTAATTTTTGGTAACATTTTTTGTTTGTTTTGTCCATAGGATCGTCAGCAGAGGGTCGACTTGGGTCTACCACTCTCCAGGCCGTCTATGACAAATGTAACATTATTTTCTTTTTATTTACTCTCAATCCTTTTCTTTTTTTGCATTCTTTGCTTTCTCTTGTTATGCATTCATGTTGTTGTTGTTCTTCTTTTTTTTTGCTATTCTTGTTTTTTTTTTTTTGTCTGTTTTACTTATAATTGGTTTTGTATTGTATTCTTTTCATGCTAATGGATTTTGTTGTTTTTTTTTTTTGTATTTTGCAATAATTTTCTTCCATTATAGTTCTCTTTTTTGTTTTGAGTGGAGTGAGGGGGGGGATAGGTATAATAATTTAGAGATGTTATTTTTGTTTTCTTTGTGTTAAGAGATACAATGATGCCAAAAAACTTGTTTAAGGTTTACAGAGAGCTTGATAGAGAGTTTTGTGTTGGGTGTTGGGAGTGAAAGGAGTAGGGGATATATAAGTTAAGGTGGTGGGTTAGTTTAGGCTATTTTACAATATTTAAGGGACAGGAAAGGGAAACTATGATTATGGAATTTTGATTTCTAATTTTCAAGGGTTTTTGATGGGCGAGGGGGTGGATAGAGGGGTTACAATTTCATAATTTGTTGTTGTTATACTTATAGTTTGTATTATAATTATTAATATATAATATATAGTTTAGGGTTTTTTTTATTTTATATATCATTATCATTATTATAATTTTTATTGTTTTTTTCTTGGTTTTGTTTTGTTTTAAATTAAATTAATTACTAAAAAATGAATTATTTTATAACAAATATCACTACCATACGTTTTGTTTTACGTTTGTTTATGTTCTGTTTGTATTTTCTTTTGTTTTTTTTTTTTTTTTAAATATATATTTTTATATATATTTTGTTGTTGTTGTTATTGATGTTGTTTGTTGCCTTTTTGCCTGTCTATGTCTTTTTGGGTTGTTGCATGCATTTTTTTCTTTTTTTTAATTTTTTGTTAATTAATTTTGTAGCTATCTTTGAGTCGGTCTAATTGTTTTATTGTTATGCTTAAATAATTATTATTATTAATTTGTATTGTTTTGTTTTACCTTCATATTTTCCATATTATTATTATTAAGTTTTTCTTTATGTTGTAAACTAATTCCATAGATTTACAAATAATTACTTTTTTTACCTTGTTTTATAATAATATTTATATATGTTCGTTTGCCTTGTAATTTTTTTGATTTTTTTCTTAATTTTTTTCGGTTTTTTTAAGCATTAACTTTGAATTTTCCAACAGCATTATTTTGTGGCTAACATGTTGTGTTGTTTATGGTTGTTAGGAATAAGTTTCCAATTATTTTTTCATATTTTCTGGAGGGGACAGGGGGGTAGGTGGTTTTCAAAATAAAAAATATGTATGTATTTTTTAGATCTTAAATATTTTTTTGAAATTTATTTAAAGTAAAATTTATATTTTTGTTTTCTTTCTCTTTCCATAACAATCAGCATAGATTTTTGTTTAAATTTTTTTAGGATAATTTTAATTTGCTTTTTTTTCTACTTTAAATTTAGAAAATTTAAACATTAACAGAATTCCATTTAAAAAAACTAAGAGGAAAATATTTTTTAGTTTACAAAAAATAAAAAATAATTATAATAATTAAACATTTTATAATTTGTACAAATAAAATCACAATAATGCCACTTGAAATTTCGAGGGGAGAGGGGGGGATTGTTTGGCTTCAATTTTTTGTTTGTTAATATTTTTCTGCTAGACATGATAATGTAGACGGCGGCATCTTACTGCTGGCTTACTTGCTGTCATCGTCATCTGCAGGATCTTCAAAAGTTGCAACAACACCAATAACGCCTTAAAAGCAACAAAAACAATTAAATTCAAATTTCAGCCGCTACGGGGCTACGTCTCTACTAGGCTAGGCTTCCATTGTCTCAGCACTTTGGCATTTTTCCGTCGGCATTTAACTGCTTCCATGGTTGTGGACATGTATGATGAGAGGGGAAAAGTTGAGTCTTTTTTGTTGTTTTTTGTATTCAAGTTTAAAGAGGGGAGTTTTTTTGTTGTTGTTGTGTTTTTTAGGTTTTTTTTTACTAAGTAAAGCTTTTTTCCTTATACATTAAAGATATATATAATAATATGTACAGCCTTTCTAAGAACTTTTCCCCCAGATGTTTTCACAGTCGGATTAAATGCCATTGTCTAATGCCTCAACCAAATGCCTTGCAATGCCATTCATTCCTTGATCCCAGCTTCTGGATAGATCCTTCCGTACCATCTTCTCGTTACATTTGATATCACTTATGCTGCTGCTGCCTTATCTTAGAGAGTTGCGAATAATATTTATTAAAAAAAAAAACAATCTTTTCATTCTTTGGATTCATATTTCGTTTGAATAACTTAAAGACATGTGTGGCGAAGGAGGAGTGGGAGTGCGGAGGTGGAGTAGTAGCATTAACATTAGCCTATATCATCCGAAAACGGCTTCGTCGTAGTCATCGTCAACATCCTACCAGGCGGCGGCGGCGTCGGCTCTGGCGCTCAGTTTTATCACACATTATAACAGGAGATTTGTTGCAAATGCTGGAATGATGGTGTTGCGGCCACAGCTGCCGCAGCCGCTGTGGCGGCCGTGAATTGGGGAAATGTCTGTTGCAAATTCGCAGCTGCCACAGCAGCGGCACTTGAGGTGGCGGCCAAATATGGATGCATGCGCTGAGATCTGAGGTATTGCCGATATTTGCCACTGATCTTTTCCGAGTAGTGTTGCTGTTGTTGCAGCTGGCTATGTTGCTGTTGGCTGTGCTGGGAGTGATGTTGCTGTTGTTGCTGCTGTTGTTGGTGATGTGAGCTCATGGCTGCAGCAGCTGCTGCCGCCGCCGCCGCTGCTGCTGCGGCCGAGGTGTGGCTTTGCTGGGAATTGGGCACAATTGTTGAGCCATAATGGCGTGCATTTGCTGAACTTTGGTTGCTGTTGTTGAGTTGAGGCGTTGCCTCAGGACCAGCCTGATAATTGCTAGGAACTGTGGCCATTGGACTGCGGTCCATCATAAGATTAACATTGGCTGAGTTGCTGGAGGCAACGGTGGCGGCCACTGATGCCGTATCTCCGGTACTCCACAGAGAGCCCATGTTCAGTTGTTGTTGTTGCTGTTGTTTACTGGCGGCTCCATATATGCCGCTACCCGAAATCATGGCATCACGCTTGCCAACATTGTTGCCGGCGGCAGCTGCAACAGCATTCTGCATTTTTCCGGAACTTTGTTGGGCATAATTCAAATGGGCTGGCGTCATGGAGCTGCGGGCAGAAATTGGGCAATTGGGCAGCAAATGATCCCATTGACTTGAGGCCTGCTGCTGCTGCTGTTGTTGTTGTTGCTGTTGTACTAAAAGGTGACTTTGGCTTGATCTTTGCTGTTGCTGTTGGGCCACCGATGTTGCCCTTTGTGTGGAACGTAGATACGAGGAGGCATTGCTGGCATTACTGGAGGTTTGCTGGTGATGTTGCTGCTGTTGTTGTTGCTGATGGCTGACCACCACCGGGTAGTGGGCCTGCTGTGACATTTGTGACATCTGTTGTTGTTGCTGAGATTGTTGACTATGCCTGAGTTGTTGCTGTTGCAAGTGTTGCTGATACTGTTGGGCAGCCTGGACAGCCTGGCGTTGCTGGTGCTGTTGTTGTTGCTGCTGCTGTTGTTGTTGGTGATGTTGTTGCTGCTGCTGTTGCTGTATAACCTGAGTTTGTCTGGCCCGCCGTGAGGACGACGTCACCACTGAATTCTGGGAGCTGGAGTGTGTTAGGGCCGCAGCTGCAGCCGCTGTGCTACGGGCTGCTGCCGCCGTGGGCATGTTATTCACAAAAGGACTACGCCTCTGCGATTCAATTTTACGGAAAAAACAGGGATGTATCATCAGCAGGGGCTCAACCCGTTGCCCCGCTGGCGGCTTGGGCTGATTGGGCAGCTCGTATTCCACACTGCAGTCCACATGCAGGGGTATGGAGTAGTCTTTGGCCGTTGACGTCGTGGACGCACTGTTGTGTGGTGTTTGTTGTGAGGCGGGTGTTGAGGCTGATACTGATGCGGGTGTGGCTGATCCTGCTGTGGCAGAGTTGGAGGCATTTTGGTTACGTTGCTGTTGCTGTTGTTGGCTGGCAGTAGCGTTGGCTAACGCTGATGCAGATGAGGAGGAGGCAATGGCGGAGGTGATCGAATTAACGGCGGCGGCAGCGACACTACTTTGTTGGGCCGACGCCGCCATCGTTGACATCCGGGCTGCCGTTGAGGCATTGTGTGAGTAATGACTGTGGGTATTATGATGCGCTGAGGAGGTGTTTTGCTGATACAGGTGTTGCTGCTGCTGCTGCTGACTGTGGTGCTGGCCATGATGCTGGTGCATCAGGGCGGCGGTTTGTGTCTGGGCCAAGCTATGAGAGGCCAGGGAGGCCATGTCATAATTGGCATAACAGGCGGCCATAGTCATGTTGCTGGCTGGTAAAGCTGCTGCTGCTGCTACGATGAGCTGACAAAAATGACGGGTAACCCCTTCCTAGGAACAAGGGTAGCTTGTCAAATTGGTAAAGAGCTCACAGCGTTTTTAGCGAATCGCTGGTGATAGTGGACATTTAACACTGACACTTGAGTTACACTTAATTCATTTTATGTTTCAAAACATATTTAGTGATATATATTTTCTTTTGTTTTTGTTATTCTCTTTTTTTGGAATAGGAGGAGGTGGAGTAGGAGGATGTATTTTTTTATGTTTTCTTGTGATACTTCTTTTTTATTAACAAATTGGCACTGGTAATCCAAGCTTTTGTAATTTTTTTGTTGATAGTTGTTGTTGTAGTAGTTGTTGTTGTGTTATTGAACAAATTTTATATATATAATATAGGTAATCCACAGGGCTATTATATATATAGGCTTTGCTATTTTTTTTATTGGTTAATAGGCGGATTATTATGATTTGTTATTATTTTTTTTTTTAAATTTTGTTTTATTGTTGAATAATAATATTGATTAAATTTGTTGTTGTTTTTGTTGTTGTCGTAGTAGCAGGAACGTTAATCCATGAAAGTGTAAAATATGTAACTTGATTTTTTTCTATTTTTATTCTTTCTTTTATTTAGCAGGTATTCTATGTGAATTTGTTGTTGTTGCTGTTGTTTTATTACTTCTCCTTGTTGTTGTTTGCTTGTATTAGACCCGTATTTTAAATTATATTTTGTTTTGTTGTTGTATTGGTTATTTTTTCTTGTTTTTGTTTAATATAGTTTTAATCAGTCTTTATATTATGGTTGTTGTTTTTTTTTTTTTTTGTTATTATTATAAAAAATTAGGGAATTTTTTTATAATTTTATTTTTTTTTTATTTTTTGTTATGAATTCAGTCTTAAGAATTTAGTTTTGTTTTTTTTTTTTTTGAAATTTACAAAAGAAGCTGCTTTACAGAGACGACGCGACGGCAGAAATGTAGTTGGTTTCAGTGTTTCTTTTTTTGGGTTCAAACTTCTGAACGGGCGTTTTCTTTTGCTGAGATTAGTTCTTGTGTCTGTTTTTTTTTTACAAATTACGGTAATTATTGTCCGTCCGTTTACCACGAGCAGCTTTAACGTTATGGAGCAGTCGAAGAAACAGAGACGTTAAATTGCTTCGAATGCGTTACGTTGTAAGCGTTTAACATAAAATTGCGTTGTGATGGCGTTGCTGAGATGATTGCGGCTCACTTGGCGAGAGCAGTTTTTCGGACCGATGAGAGTTTTAGGCAATTCTCATGAGCATGTGCGCAACTCTCTCTGTTTCGCTCGCGCACTGTGTAAGTTTCACTCAAGGCAAATGAGTAGTTTGTTGCTCTCTTGAGTGATTTTTTCAATTAACTCAATTAACTGACACACACACAATTATATGTTTCTCTCTCGCTCTTCTTGTTGGCTCTCTCACAGAAAAAAACAACTGTTTTGTTTCTTTTTTTATTTCTTTGTAATTTTCACTAATTTTTTTAAGACGCTTTTTAAGGTCTTGACTTGATTTTTCCTTGCTTCTGGATGTGTTTTGGGATTTTCCAAATTTGTTGTATTTTTTTATCAATTTCTTTCTTTTTTTTAAATATCACAATTAGTTGTCAAATGAATTTGTTTTTCTTTTTTTTTTTTGGGATTCTTGTTGTTTGTCACAGATATAAAAATAATTTATTATTTTGTTATGGTAGAAATTTAACGCGTTTCTGTTTCGAGCTCTTCGCGTTGTTGTTGCTATTATTGTTTATGGGAAATAGTTAAATATTTCATAACTGTTTCTTATCTTCTTGTAATTTACGGCGTCTTGTTATCGTTCTAACAAACGTAAAGGCGTCTTTATCGTACGAGCTCTCTCAACTGACTGAGCTGTCAACGTCAAACATTTACAGCATATGAAATTTTGTTTGTTCGCACACACACACCACACGTTCTTTACCTGTTTTTTTTTTTAGCTCTCCATGTGCCATGAATGGCGGCGTTGACGAAGAAAATCCCCCAAACAAAGGGTCTCTCAGTTGTATTGTCTGATACTGCTCTCAATGCGCCCCGACCGATAATCATATGTTTTTCTGCAGCCGTTACCTAGAACAACATTTGAGCGTTTTTGTGTGTCTCAACAAAACAGCTGTTTTTGTCATTGCGGCTGAAAACCACCCAGTGCAACAACAAAACCACTCAATTAGTGACCCCCCATTGAAAGGGAAACTCTCAGAGAGTGGTATCATAGACAAATTAAGATATAGACAACGAAAAGTTAGTTTGGTCTTTTTTTCCAGGTGGCTCTCATCATGTTTTGCATAGTCAACATGCTCATTTACGCGTTCAAGTCACTCGACTTCGAAAACACATTTTATCGTTTTTCAAGAATTTCACTGGAATATTCCCATATTTTTCGATGTCATCACGTACTTTTCACATTTCTTTTATTATGAAATAATTTTCAACTGACAAATATCCTACAGTTTTTGTTATTTTTAACGTTTTATAATTGAGTGACTTCAATATTCCCACTCAAACCCCTGAAACGATATAGGCGACATCTGCTGATTCGATTTTTTTCGAAGATAAACGGTGAGAGCATTTCGTTGTCTATATTTTCATTTGTCTATGGTGGTATGCTCTACCTAAGCGCCGACCAATTGCAGCGTTGACACACAAAACTAATCTCTTTCCCTGGAGAGAGAGCCAGAGTACCTTGGTGTTGGTAACCAATTGCAATGTGCGCTGGCAGTAACAACAACAGCAGCAATTCAACTCATTTTTACACACATTGAGTTTACGGTTAATTACAAGCCCCTCATCAAATGTGCTCTTCTCTTGTTCGCTGCGTCTCTATGAGAGAAGATATTACTTAATAGCAATGTTGTCATATGATCCTGTATTTTTTCATGTAAAATACTTGGGGGGAGGAAAAAAACGCCAAAAAGGATATACTGAAGTAGAGATAAGGTGTGAAATAAATATTCAAACAAATTTCTCCCAATGAAAATAGGGAAGCATAACGCTACTAAGAATCACTTGAATAAGAAAAAAGCTATCAAAACTAACTAAGACAGCTTAAAGGAGATAATCCAAAAGACGTCTTTGGTGGCCACACGATACAAAATAAATAAATAGTTAACTAATTTTGTTAAAAACGACGGTGTATTATTAAGACCATTTGTAACACCTCCATATATCCGAATTACGTGCGTGGTGTGTATATTCATATTTTCAGATATCAAAATTCGTAACATTCCCCCATTTAATCTGTCATTCAAATTTCAACGGAGGCTGTAGAAAATTTAAGTTCAAAATCTATTTTAAAATCAAATAGTGTAAAATTTGAAATTTTGAGCTGTAATTGAGTATGAGTATAATTCGGAGTTTCGACTCCTGATTATTATACACATTCAGAATTTGAAAACCTATGCTAGCTAATTCGTATAGGCCCCCATAATGGTACCGGTAGATTTTATACATTTTTCAACTCAAGTGGCCTGATGTAGGTTGATTTTCTAGGCACAATTTGGGGTAACGTAGAGGAGTGGAAGCTCTCTTTTTTACCATTTCCAAGACTTCCTATCTCCTCAAATGCATAAATATCTAGGAACTCAAAAACCGAATTAACTTTGATTCGATTGGAAGATGTTGTAAAAATCTCTCTCTCTTTCTAAATATTTTGGGGATTTTGTGATGAACCAAAACTATGACCTACTTATTTGAAATTTCTCGTATTGGTATTTTCTATCCAGACTTCCAAATTACAGCAAATCTCCACCGACACAATGCAATGTACCATAACATAACCCACTATTAGTACCAATACCACGATATACGGTGTAAGAATTTTATAATGACCGAATCATATCGTTACTTCAAAATGGTAAGGACTAGGGCTGGGTTAAAGGCGCCAGAGCGAATATATCCTTTTTGCAAAGTTATAGATGACAATAGGATCTGTGTTTAAAAACTCACATAGAGATTACGAGCCGAATATTCAACCATATTTTGTAGTTTCTCCTTTAATAATGCAGAGCTTTTGCATAATGGGTGATAAATCTGGTCATCTTCGCTCCCTGGGCGGATGTTAAAGTTAATAACTCTATTCTTATCCGCAAAGTTCATTTTTGTTAAATTGAATAAAACTGGGTTCTACACAATTTCTATACCTAGCATCGGGGTTCACTGTACATTGCCCGGCAAAACCGGAGAGTAGAGATTAGATTTTCTACATACGGGACTGCATCAGATTTGATTTAAACGAGTCAATAACCTTAGGAACCGCTTTACTTTCTACATAAATGATCACCGGTTCAGTTTTTTCATCTTCCGTAGTCCTAAAAAATTCTATATAGCAAAGATCTCTACCTAAAACATTTCACTTTCTATCCAATTTCTAAGAATATTTCCTCACAGGAAACTCCGGCTCCCGTGCCTTATTTTATTTTTGATCCGTCTGTATATACCTAGCTTACATTTTATTTCGAATTCGATCCGAATCTCTTCTGAAGTTTTTGATTCCGAATTCCTTCAGATTTCGTTACAAATGTTATATGGTCGTGGTCACTAAATTTTCTAAATCAGTCCAATTTCTAGTAAAAAATGAGATAAATCGGCATATTAAACAAAAAAATTATTAGAAATCTCGAAACAAATTGAAAATCAGAGCCCTTCGGAAACAAAATCGTTAGCTGGGTATCGCAGACGGATTGGAGGTAGATTGGATCCATTCCATATATCCATGTGTTTAATCAGTATCATCTTTTTGTCAGGAGACCAATTTTTCAATCCAAATTTGAAGGATTCTTATGGACAAACCTCAAAGATACCCATGGTAAAAGCATGACGGAAAATAACTTAGCTATAAACAGTTTTAAAGTATTTCCCACTTTTTTTGAGAAACAGTACAATGTTTATTTGTCCCCTGTAAAGGTACTAATGTGACCCTTGGTAAGCCTTAAATTAACATTTCGCTGAACTACAAACAGAGAGACAAACATATCACAGCTAACTTCCTTTTTAATGTGCTGTTTAAAAAAAATCGCCAAAACAACTTAAAAACTGCTAAATTAGCATGTTTCCCCCAAAAACAAAACACATTTCTCTCTACCGCACACACTCTCTCTACTTCACAGCAGTAATCCTTTTTGACTCTCTATCTCTTTCGCGTCGATTATCACTCACAAAAATGTCACACAAATTGTGAGCCTTTCTTGAATTTCATTCAAGAACTCAGCCACATACTCTCTCACTGCGTTACGCTTGCTCGCTCTCTCTCTCTCGTTCTCCAAGGAAAATACAAGTGTTGACTCTTTTTCCCTTTGTGCAGTGAGTGAGCATTTCGGGTGGTTGGTTTTCTCGACTTAGTTTTTCCTTTCAAATGAATTTAGTTTTTAGTGGTGCCCTTTTTGTTGTTGCTGCTGCTGTTGTTGTTGTCATACTCGTTGGCCATATTTTAATTCCTATGTAACAAAAGTAACAATAACAATAATACAAACAACGACAACAACAATGCGAAGAGGAAATACAACAAAAACACAGTAACGGCAACAAATACTCTCATCTGAAAGACCGCCGCCATACAGTTGTATTGTGTTCGTATGTTTGTGTGTATGAGAGCCCGAACCAGTCAGCCATCCAGCCAGCCAGCCATTGTGCATGGCGGCGGCCATCTTTATATTTGAGTTTAATTTATTTCCTTTTAAATGTATAGATTTTTAGGCTTACTTTTTGTTATTGTGGCAAAGGCAACGGCAGCGGGGCAGCACTGCCACCAGTGGAAGTAGTTGTTGCCGAGTAGTGGTGTTTGTTGGCCGTAGTAGTTGTAGGGTACAAAAAAAAAACTCATACCTACACACATTCACATGTTGTTCACACTAATAACCATCAGCTCGGCTCCAACTCGTACGGAATTTGTTGAGCGATGTTGCCGGTAGTGGAAATGGATGTTGTTGCTGATATATTTTTTTTTGGACTGTTGTAAATTGTCGTAGACAATGTTTGCTGCTGTGCTGTTTTTGTTGTGTCAAAATCATATGTTTAGCATTCTTCTCTTTCTAGCACTTCAAACAAACATTCCGAAAACTGAGTTTATGCTTGCATTGCAGTGAATGAAAAGCCCATTTAATTTCCATCTAAAGAATTCGCAAAACAGTGTGGTATTATTCGATTCGGCATGGGGATTTCCCCCACATTATGTTTAATGTTTTTTCGGGGGATCATATACTAATTTGTACTGGCGGAGAGGGGGGATATCTCTTTAATTTTCATATTATACTTTTTTATTGGCTTTATTGCTGCTGCTGTTGTTGTATGCGTTTGTTCGTTCGTTCGTTCCAACGAATTAGTGTCATTGGTTTGCTCATTTCCGTCGTGTTTGCGCTACATTTTGCTCAAACAAAATAGTGTCATCTCTTTCCTGGAAATAAAAATGTATAGAAAAGTTAAGCTATAATTTTTAAATATGTCGGTATTAATTATTTTAGAATTAAATATATACAGGATGAGGGAAGGGGTGTGAAAGGTAAAATTATTTAAAAGTGTATGAAAATCTATTATCCTAACCGAAATTTATGCCAAAAAAATTGAATATGACATCTCGAAGAGAAATTGCTGACTGAAAGTGTCATAGAATAAAAGAAGTAAGGTGGAATATTAAAGATTGTCATTATTTATTGAGGCCCATTTTCCAAAACTTGTAAATTTAGACGAAACAATATAAATATATCGCCTTATATCTAAGATTTTTAATTTTTAAGTCATGAATTCTACGGCACTGCCAATAAAATTTGAAAAAAAAAAATTGTAGTTGAGTTAGAAAACTTCATAAAATTTAGATCAATGTATATTATTTTTGTATAATATACCCTTGACCATTCTGTGGAGGGTATATTAGCTTTGTCATTCCTAGCAATATTCATAATAGATATATTCTGGATCAGCGAAAATTCTAAGATGATTCAGCGATGTCCTGTCTGCCTGTCTGTGTGTTGTAATCATGCTATCTTTTGAGATAGAAGACTAAAATTTTGCGCAAATGTGTATTTTGCAAATAGGCACGTTAAGTTCTTAAATGGGCCATATCGGTCCACGTTTTCGTATAACATCCATATAAAATTAACTTACGATATTCGGTATTCTGATGATTTTAGCAACATCATTCACCCGAATTTTTTTAAATTTCGTAGTCGAAGTTTGTAATGGGTACTACAGCCTATGCTTAAAAGTTCCGTATGCTGGTCCATGTCTTCGTATATCCCCCATGTAAAGGTACACCCCGATATTCGGTATATTGTTGATTTTAGTGACATTATTCATCGCAATTGTATCAAATTTCATATTCAAGGTTCGTAACGGGTAGTACAGCCTATGACAAACAATTTCGTATGCAGTTCCACGTCTTCGTATAGCCCCCTTATGATTGTACATCCCGTTATTCGGCATTTTGATAATATTAGCAACAGTAATCGCCGGAATTGATTCAAATTTCGTATTTGAAGATCTTAGAGGGTACTACAGCATATGACAAGATATTACTTATGCAGGTCCACGTCTTTGTATAGGCCCCGTATAAAAGTCATCATTTAAACGGGTTTTTCGGACTTATTTTAAATTTTTTAACTCCCTTCCAAATGGTGGAGGGTATAAAAAGTTCTGCGTGGCCGAACTTTAGTTCTGTCTATAACCCCTAAAAATAACAACCGTTTTCTTAAAATAATCTTCAAATTTGCTGGTGGTTTTGCGTTTCTAATGATGAGTACGGGATCGGGATATCTCAAAATTTGCTATCGAGTTAGTTGTAATTTGAATTTTTTCCTCCAAATGTTGAATGTATTTTGTTGTTATTAGCATTCAAGTTTTAGACTTTTGGGAGAGGGACGAGAATCAGTGGGTCAATCTTTTTCAGAATGGTCTCGAACTAAAGTTTTGTAAAAATATATTTGCGCAGGCCACTATATGGGGTACCTCCATTAGTTTTGTATGAGATATTTGTATAACCTGTTTTTAAGTTTCGTGAATGTTTCTTCGAAAGGTCAAAAATATTGGCATGTGAAAACTTGAAGAAAATAGATCATTGATTTCTTTATTTTTAGGAGTCATTATTAGAAAATTTCTATCATTCGTTGGGAAGGGACAGAAATGAGTGAAACAATATTGTCCATATGCGCTCCTTACCTAAGATTTATAATAATATTACGATATGAAAAGTTTGAGCTTATAGGGTATTCCCATTGCTCAATGTGAAATGTTATACCCTTAGCCATATGGTTACAGAGGGTATATATCAAGTGATACGGCAAAAACGTGGCTCATGAAATAACGGGTTTCGACAATGGGTCTCTTTGGACCAAATCACGGCATTTGAAGTCCGTCCGTCTGGCTGGTTGGAGCGCACCTGAAGGGCTTAGATCGAGTTCGGATATGGGCGACATAGGCCCACTCCTCTTGGACCTTACCCACAAACGGACAAAATTGTCACAAAAAGTAATTTACCGTCTAAAACTAGAAAGGATCATCTAATTTTGTGCAAACTTTGTAAATCCCGATATTTGTATCAGAGCTACATATGTCAGCTGCGAAAATTCTCCTCAAATGTCTCACATCCCAATAAAAAAGATCTGGTGTGAAGATGATAGATATGGATCCACGTCTTATGGTACATCATCCACAAATCGGTCAAAATTTTGATAACCAAAACGCTCATATTATTCAAAATAAGCTTCCGATTATGTTTAAATTTCACATATCGCAATATTTTCTATTGAAACTTGTAAGCTTAAGACATATAAATAAATCAAAATTAAAAAAAAAAATAAAAAATGATATTCAAATAAATCAATAAAAGTCCTCATTTAGATAAAGCAGGAGCTCTACGTAATATTAAATAGAGGTTAAGTACGTTTTCATATTAATTTAACAAATTTCGTATTAATTTATCCCTAAACGCAATAGTTCACACTTTACAGTCTTCCTTACACAGAAAAGCATAGTTCTCCAGAAAAATTATTAAATTCTTTTTTACAACCCATTTCATGGCCACCACAAAGATGCCATAGAAATCTATGCTTTTTCTTCATCTCATTCAAAGTTATTTCCCCTTTGAAGATATTACTACTAAGAGAAACAACAATAAGAACACATCGAGAGCTGAGTGAGTAGTGCATAGGGGAAAAATCATGAAGGTCGTTGCCATAACAGCCATTACAGTACACACACACACTCACACACAACATACATACATACCAGAAAAGCAATATTGAGTTTCTCTAGCAAAAAATACACCCAACAACAATAGCAACAACAACAATAACTGCAAAAGAGCCGTCATAAAATGTAAACTAATTGAGGACGTCTACAATTTATTTACGAGCAATGACAATACGTACTGTGTACTCTGAGAGCTCTGTGTCTGCTAGACTCCGAGATGGAAAAAGCATGGCCGTTCGTTAAGTAGTCGTCGTACTCAGAAATAAACAATTGAACAGAAAAAAAAAACAATCCCAATCATGATACTACATTCAATGCGTTGCGCTCACTCTCTAAAATTGGAGACCTAGAAATTGCAACCAACACTCTATCGCCACCACCAGCAGCGCCAACAACCGGACTTCCTCTTTTTTTGCCTTGTGTAGTAAAATTCACATATACACACGCAAACACACAATGCATGTGGCACACACCCGTATGACGGGACGTCAACGACATTACTCTGAGTTTCTCATTGTCACAAGCAATGTCGGCGTTAGACCAGCCAGAGCAACCAACCAGCCAGCCAGCCAGCCATCGGAATAACTCAGCTGTTTTTTGTATAAAGTAAACAACAAACCCAACGACATTGTTGTTGTTGTGTTTTTTTTTCCAAATGATAAACAAAAACAAAACCAGTTTTTCTTCACAAATCAGCTGTTCTTCTGGTTCGCCCAACTGACTAGAAGAGCTCTCCGTCGCAGCACACACACTCGCACACCCATAATCTGCTACATTTAACAAAAAAAAAAAAAAAAAAAAAAAACACGGGAGGTGTGTTTCTATGGCGTTTGCGCTGAATGTGGCCCAAAGAGCATAAACAAGAGAGATAATTGGGGGCCTCATAAAATAACTCATTTCTTTTTGTTGTTGTTGTTGTTATTGTAAAGAGACTCATTAAGTTGGGGAGACGACACCACACACAACATTCACATTCGTCGATGTGGGGAATAGTTGAATTGTCGATTGATTTTCAATGAGTGTGGGAGATAGTTGGTGTTGTTGTTACTATTATTGTTTTGATTTGTGAGTAAGTGAGTGAAAGAGGCTTGTGAGTGTTGCTGTAAGTGAAATGAATTCATTACTCTCATTTGCCAACAACAAAGGTTGCATTCATAAGAATTTGCTTTAAAGATTATAATTTATCTCTGTCAAAGGCAATATTCACAATAACAACAACAACAAAAGTAACACAGAAAATCTGTCGGATTATATGTAGCTATAAATCTCTTTGGGGTACATTAGAAGGCATAAGGATGAATATTTGTTGTCGACTGGCCATTGAAATTAGTGTTGTTGTAGAAGGTAGGAAAAGTAAAACACCTAATGCGAAGCAGATCTTTTACTCCCACGATACACATGACAGTATACAAATCCAGAAGAGTGTTAGATCTTAATGTTTCTCTGGACTATTGTGTTGAAAACAACAGTATCATAGGGTGGATCCGGAACACCATAATATTATATTAAATAAATTAAAATCTTTCCAATCTTTCGAATGCATATTTACTACAATATTAAATATAATTTACTGTAATTTTGAAGGTGGTTTTCAAATGTAGATGAACACTTCAAAATCATTTTCTTTGTTTATCTATAATATATTGAAGCAATTATTTAAAATTTTTACATTTTTAGTTAGTTTTTAAAGTATATAAAATGCTTCTTTTCTTTAACACTTTAGGACAGTCCTTAATTATTTGTGTTCCATAAGGGAGAATCATAAAACATCTTGTTAAAGAGTTCTTTTTACAGTTTTTAATAACTGAAAAAGACCCGAGATGAAAATTTGTTAATTTTAATATCCAGGGTGAGATAAAAAATATTACAACAAAGTCAAACGGCATAATTTTTACTTTTTATTAATTTTATTTAATAAAAGCAAAAATGTCGAAAATAGCATCAAATTTTAGAATAAGTTTAGATTTGTTCGAATTGGTCACCTTTGGCACGAATTATGGCCTTCAAACGGCCAATGAAACACGTCACACGCTGCCCGAATGTAGCTCTGTGGTATTTTGCGCCATTCCCGGCGAAGCGCTTGCTTGAGTTGATCGACACTTTTGTATGTTTTAGTGCCAACCTTGTTTTCCAAAATAGTCCAGACACGGATAAGTGTCCGGAGATTTTGGTGGCCATTTTGCGCTGGAAATGAAACGAGGAACCTCATTT